ACCTTGACTGCATTAACTATCTCTATTCCGGGAGATTGATAGTGACATTGGAGACATAAGTAGCTAACCTACAGCATGAACTATGACCATAAATCAATTTTGTAACTCATGATGTTGCCCACAACCAAATGTTATTAATAATTCTCTGATGAGTCCTATTTCAACTAATTCCTCTTGCTAACGAGGTCCTCACTTCATTTGTTTAGAAAGGAGCGGATGTACTCCCCATGTTTACATGTACCACATCTTTCCATTGCTTGTTTCTAAACATATAATTGAAAATTTTACACACCCTGAACTTTGCTGCCTTGGAGTAAAGCCAGAATACCTCATTTTATTACAGGTCTGGTGACAGCGTCTTGGTAAAGGTCAAGTTGAAGGGTCTGGAGATTCACCCAGAAGTTGGTGAAACTAGAAATAAAAGGAACAAGATTAGGGCGTTTAAGGACCAATTATAAAAACAGAGAACAGAGAAGATTTAGAAAAATACTCATCTAGATTTATGACTGTAAGAATGTAGTTAACTTAGTAATTACCGATTACCGAGCAAACAGACTGAGTAAAACCAGAGTGAAGGATGGGATTTAAAAGTAAAAGAAACCAGGGAAAAAAAGGGGGTCAGGGAGTGAACAGAATAAAGAAAGCAAAAGAGAAAAAAGAGAAAAGGAGAAGCCATAAAATAAGATAAATTGGTCCAATATGACATGTTTTATTTGCCAGAAATAAAAACACAGTCCCGAACTGCATCAATTAAGATGTGGAGATACTTTGGCTCCATCAACCTGGGCAAATTGTTAGTATGCAAATGCCTTCCAGCTGCTTGACTTAACCTTGAGGAGAGGAAAAACTTTATCTGCCCTTTTGTTTGGGAAATAAGTTGAGTGCGAAGCCTAAGGGTTATTCCTTCTGATAAGAGGTGAGGAGTGTCTATGACGAAGTTGTGAGAAGCAAACACCACCTCCTGGGTGACCATGGCGTTCTAAGGCTCGGACCAGGTCAAGATAATGACTTGACTTTAGAGTGGAGAGTTCATCCAGTCTTGATCTACTGGCAAGTGTTAGTCTGTCTAGTTTTTCAAGAGACAGCCCAGAAATTGGGCTCCATTAATCATCATTGTGCCCTAGCTGGTTTGGCTCAGTGGTTAGAGCATTGGCTAGAGGACTCAAGGGTCCTGGGTTCAACTCCGGCCAAGGGCACGTGCCTTGATTGCAGGCTCTATTCCCTGATTTGTCAGGGTGCATGCAGGGGGCAACCAATCGATGTGAGATGTTTCTCTCTTTCTCCCTTCCACTCTCCCTGAAAAAGCAATGGAAAAAATATCCTTAGGTGAGGATTAAAAAAATAATAATAATAAATAAAGTAGCAGAGCTGTTTGGTAAAATGCAAAACCCTTTGCTCATTTCAAACCTATCAAATCAGGGATGCTCAGCATACAGAGGGAGGTAATGCTTAAATGACCCCTGTATGCCCCCAAAAGTTTTCTCTTTACTGAACTCTGGATATTGAGAGAAAAAAACACAACATGATTAGGTTCAAATTTATAATAACAAAATAAAAAAGTGAACAAGGCACATGTCTAAATAATGAAATAATAAACACAAATACACATAAATAGCAAGACATATATATTACCTTCTCCTCTAATTCTAGCTTTAAAGATTAGTTTTACAATTTGGGGGCACATTTTCCCATCTGAATCATCCTAACTCAAGTCTTAGAACTTGGTAAAAACACAAAATACAACTTTACTAACACTTTCCTCTTTCATTGGAAAACACACACACACCTTATTTCATCGGTGTTCATCACTGGTGTTCCAAAATTTCCTCTGTATAAACAGAAAAGCAACCTAAAGCCAAACAGAATTCATACACCTGAATCATATTTGTAAAATTTTAAGGGTTTATACTGTGCATATGACTATGATTTAATTATGAAATCTTGAGAGGTCTGATCTTAGGGAGCATGCAGGAGGCAACCAATCAATGTTTTGTTCTTGCAAAGATGTTTCTCTCCCTCCCTCTCTCTTCCTCTCTCTCTAAAAATCAATAAAAATATTTTAAAAAATAAAGAGGTCTGATCTTAACAATATCCTGACAAAAGTAAGTAAACTTTCAAACTGGATTGGTGTTGTGTCAGGCAGCTCCATCCCCCCCCCCAACAACCTGACCTATCCCAAATACACTGCATTTTTATATTTATATCCATAAATCCATAACAAATATATAATTTCAGAGTAAGGAATCATACTCTTCATACTGTTCTACCAAAAAAAACTGTAAAAAATTTTTAATCTCATACATATAGTTTATGTATAGCATGAATATACGGTTTCAATAAATAGATGCCTGTATACCTACACCTAGCTTGTCCATCACGTTCCTCTCTGATTGTCACATGTACATCCTCAGAAATAAACTATTATCCTAAATTTGTACTGAGTGTTCCCTGCTTTACTTTATGGGTTTACCACACATATATGAGTTCTAAGCAATTTAGTTTTGCTGTTTTTATTTTTACTGTTAAGAAAGTGGAGTCATTCTGCATATAGTCTTCATTCAGCCTGTTTTGGAGCTGCATCCCTGCTAATGTGTGTAGCTGTGGCTCTTTGTTCGCTGTTGCAGAGCTTCATAGAACGATGCACCACAAGCTATTTACCTTCCTGAGAGACATTTGGATTGCTTCCACCACATTGCTATTACCACAACGAAGCAATGAACATATATATAATTTTTTTTTTTTTTTTTGCAGTAACTTCTGCTACACGTATCTTTAAGGAATATACTTGCCAGTGGGTTTTCAGGATCCAAGCAATTCAAAGTTCTTATACCTATTTATACTTCCACCAACACTGTATGAGGTTTTCATTGCACCACATCCTTTCCAATATTTTGAATTATTGTTAAACTTTATAAACTTTTCCTAGTCTGGTGGGTATATGTAGAATCTCATTGTGGTTTTAATTTGCATTGCCCCCTGATTATGATCACAGCAAATTTGTATATAAAATGAATTAAACTTTTCCTCTGAAACATTTGTTTCTAATTGGGTAGCAGCAACTTGAGTTTGTATAATTATGGTTAAGCAACTTTTTGCTTGTAATGATTTAAGAGAAGGACTATCTTTTTTTTGGTTAGGTGATCCAGGGAATGGAGAGAATAGGTTTTATTGCTTTTAGAACTGAGAAGGTAAATTAGCTAAATTTAGCCAATATATTCCTTCAAGGTTCTGATTTCCTCTTAATAAATATACTTGTTTGCATTTTTTTCTTTTAGCTTAATTGTTGTGCTTAACTATGGCAACATCAAGGGGGTTTATCTGTATTCTTATATGCTGTATTTATTTTCTGTGTTTTTAAGTTTTAGTTGGTTTTTATTTCATTGTGTAATCGCTTCAGCAAATGGTATTGCTTAAACAAAATTAATTTTTTTTTAGTTTGTTCTAGATATTTCTATGATTTTCACTAAGACTTTATAATGTTTTCTTTGTATCATCTCTTCTTAGATATTAATCCATTTTTGGTACTATAGATACTGATATTTTTAGGAGGAAAGTGGAAGTAAGACCATGATGACACGTACATTATCTTATTAATATGTGCAACTCATTTACTAACCAAAATTAACTCATCAACAAGTTTTCTGATAGCCAGAAGTAGCCATTGACATATTTGTTTTTCTAGTTATTCCAAATCACCAAAAGGGTAGAAAGATTCTTTCACATCATTTTCAGCTGTGATGACAAATGAAATCTCTAAAACTATGCAGAAAAATAAACCAATAACATGTCATGTTATTTCTATTTCTAGTGGCATTTTCCAGCAAGCTGGGAAAATACGCAAAATAAATTTCAACTTTGAACCTTTTGTAGGTCATATGTATGCCAGTAAAGCCCGAGACTGACAAGAGTTTTTAGTTTTTTCAAAATTGCTTGTAGAAAAATCCAGATTCTAAATATAATGCAGAGTGTTTGTTGATGTAAAAGCACACATCTCTTTAATATGACCAGATTATGATCCTAACTGAAATATATACTAGACAATTTGTAATAATATATAATTATTAAAATGTGTGAAGTTAAAATTTACAAAGTAATTAAAATATTTTTTATCACAAAATCTTTGATTGCAGAGGCTGCTTTTCACATAAGTCTTCTTAATGCTTTTGAGAGTTCCCTTAAAGAGCTCTATTGACTTCATAGAAATCCTCGGCAATAATTCAGAGATTGTTATTAGACATAGCAGCAAACTGATAATTCAAAAGGGTAAGTTCAATAAAAGCATCTCACATCCCAATATAAGCTAGTGACGATAAATAATTTGCAAATGCAAATTTGACATTTTTGAAGTTCTACAAGTCCAAACACTGTGTAAATTCAGAACAAGGTGAACTAGATGATGCCTCTATCATGCTTTTACCATTAATTTGAGTCTGAAAAGATGCATATGAGACACATTTATAACCTTGAAGTCTTTGTTTAGCAGTGGACAAATCTCACTTGTTACTAATGCTCTATGTTTAAGGAAAGTTAAGTCTCATTGCTGACATGTTCTAGTCTCTGGCTCCCTCTTTGACAAGGTCTTTGTCATTCTTTCACCCTCACTAATTCCTCTTTGAACGTACTGACCATCTTTCTGCACTTTGACCAAGTCATCTTTTCTTCCAGGAACAACCTTTCTCCGGAACATTTCATGGCATCCATGTCTTAGTGCCAAGATCTTGCGTGTTCATGGCCCTTACTATCATCATTCTTGAGAAATGAGTTTCCAGGAACAAAGTTCTTGTTTACGTGCAGGGAGCATGGTGGCCACCTCAATGTGCCTGCTGCATCTCCTCCCAAATTCCCATTAAAATTACATTTAAAATACATATGTTTATGATTTTAACAAAAACACACACACAAATATATAACTTTAAGTTCTGTAAAATCCCGCTATTCACTGATAACTTTTTAACCAAATTCACAGGAATGTTCTCTTGTCATCCAGGATACTACGATGACACACCCACCAAATGTGCCGCCACCTGTCAAAACTTTGGATGGCCCTATTTTCAGGTATTGCTTATATTACAGAAGAACATTCATGACCTAATGAAAGTAACATGTTGGATTTCCAATAAAGTTGAGAATTATATATAACAACTTCAAATAACTTCTGACCAAAGGAAACTTTGGAAGTCAGTTTAACAAAATACTGATAAGGAAGGACTTATGGACATCTCTCAACTTACAAAGTCACTTCCTTGAGACCTTCAGGTATGAATTAAAACCTCCTGTTCTTGTTCCTTGGCCAGAGGACTAGGAGTGTTAAATTAATTTGAATAGGTCCTATCAGATTTAATAATATTAGTAATTTGGTAATCTTAGCCACAAACATCACACACACAGGTATGTATATACACACATACATAATGTCTGTGGCTAATTTTATAACTATACTATATATATGATTCTACACATACATAGAAAACAAATGATGTTTAATTTATATAAACTAATAAGGCTCTGTTGCTCATTTGAACTAAATTCCTTTCTTCTGAAGAGTTCTTTGTTTTCTGATTCACACAGTGGCTGTTATATTTCCATAAATGGCAGAGAACCTTTCCCATAATTGAAATATTAGAGGACATAATTTACAAGTAAGGGACCAGGAAAATGGGAAGTGAGCTCTTTTAAAGATTAAAGTTGCTCTAAGTACTATTTTTAGAACTCCTTGGCAAAGTAGTTTCAATTTAAATCCTGGGCATTTAAGCTTTAGGGACATTGGTGCTTCCAAAAATATTACTGTTGCAGTTGGAGGTGTCTTCTTATTTATACTTGGCATTATAGTTGCATGCCAGATAAGATATTATTTATGCAATTATTATTATACCTCACAGCTCCCTTTCTTACAAAATTAAAGTAGCTTTCCTTCCTAAGTTATTTTTAGACTTTTAATAATGTATCATCCTCATAAACTATAATAGCATTAATGAAGTTAGACGCTGCTAAATTATTGTATCTTAAATTCAAAGCTGAGTGACATAATTTCTGATTTTTAAGTTCCCAAGTCATTCTATTGGACCCTAAAATAGACCCTCTATAATTATTCTTTGTCCCTCAGCATGTCTTTGGGAACTCATCACTGTTCTCTCTTATGTGTCAGCTTCCTTTGCACATTGCATTTCATATGACTCACTGTTCCTTAGAGCAAGGTTTGAATGCTCTAAATGCCTACTTATATCTGACAGCTGGGTTTCTCTTCCTGAATGTTTTTCTGTGAAGTCATGCCAGATCAATTTTTATAAGGCCTCAATTTTTCTTAATGAAAACGTATAGCAAAGAACTTACTAGACCTCCGCTATCTGTGTACCAGTCATCTCCATGGAAATTAAGAGAATTACACACATTTTTTTCTAAGTATCTTTCCAACTTATAAATTATAATATACATTGGATAGTTTGAAGGAGATAAATTGGAAGTGGCTTAAAAACAAGATCCAAATTTAAACTGCTTTGTCTTCATTAGATTGATCTCTGACTCACAGAGTATTGGTAAGATATATACATTTGGTGAGAAGTTAATTGCCCATTTTGTAATTTAAAATATTTTATTTCTAAAAATTAAAGTTTAAGGTGGATATGTGTATGACAAATTCCAGCAAGAAAGAGGTCGAAAAATTATCTCTGGGAAGATTAAAACATATAACTGAGAATGAGAATTGCAGTTTGCTATCATATTAGTTTGACTCATATATGGTTTAATTTTAACTTAATGAAAGAAGCACAGAAATGAGATTTAGTATGGGAACTCCTACTCTTAGCTCATCTGCCATTGCTGTGGGACATGAGACAAATCACTAAATTCTCCTGAACTCTACCTTCTAAATCTGTAAAACGAGCAGGTTATACTATAAGACTTCTCAGGTCCATTCAAGCTCTCTGAGATTCTGAACCTCTGACTGTATCGACTCTGAACTAAAGATAGGAACTAGAAATAAAATCTCATCTGAAGTTCTTTGTAACAAATAATGCGATTTGTAATACCTCAATTCCTCTAACTTAGAATAGTTTTGCATTGCTTTATTTACATAATCATTCAGTAGACTCTAGAACTTGACAGATGGATAAGAGGTGTGCAGGGGGAAATAAATAAGGAGAATATCTCTGGCTAGATTGAATTTTGACAACAGAAGGATTTCAAGTTATCACTAAAGTTTAATAATCTTACTGAAAATTCTTTCTGACTCCAAGATAGTAAAAATATTAACTTGTAGCTTCCTAATAACTTAATAGGTTCATTTTCACATTTAAATCTTAATACAACTAAAATTGAATCTCACATATAAAATTTTTCCCCAAAATTGATGGACAATTTTCATGAAATAGTTCGTCTTTTCTATCATTGATTTAAAACTCAAGTAACTTGTTATATTTATTAAATTTTATTAACAAAATTAGTTTGGATTCTTGGGTCCATTTGTTTGTTTTCAGTTGAACTTTGGAATTTTTCATTACCTTGATTACATTACATTTATAAATTATTCAGTGGACAACTAAGCATTTTTATACATTTTAGTTTTGCATCTATTAATAAAAATGTGCCTTTATTAAAAATTACTTGATGCCTATAAATATAATTGGATATGGGACAATGGGGCTAGATACTACATGTTTCACATGGAAATGAGCTGTTGGTGCTACTTATAAACAAATAAATATAAGGCTTTGCAAGCAATGGGTTAGAAGATACCAAAAGGGCTTCTCTTTTCTTATTAAGGACAATAAATTACCAGGATGTTAAGAAAAGTCCTTTGCAACTGGAGCATATGTGTAATGACTTATATATATGAACATGACTATTAACAAGTAGCTTACATTTTTTTTTATAATGAAGTTTTATTTTTGATAATGAAGAACATTATACATTTGCTAAAACATGAAGTTGTTATTAGATGTGGAGAAACTACATAGTCTTTTTCAAGTTGCACTGACCCATAAAATAAGCAATCAGTTGAACACAGAGTACTTATCTTGAAGGGTTTTTAATCACATTTGAAAAGCTTATTCAGTAGGAGAGACTCATACTTATGATTAAGAATTAGCCAGAGTCCATTATATTCCAAATGAAATAGTCAGTGGAGTATAGATTTTCTCTATATAGAAAACCCCACATTAAAAACAAAACAAAAACAAAAAAAAACAAAAAACAATGCCTCACCCACACACAAAAAACCTTCTTTCACTTATATATGTTATTATTATCGCCTATCCTATCTCCTAGGCCTTTTTAAAGCATGCTATCAAAACAGATTCGTTCTTTTTTTAATGGAATACAGCAATTTTGACAATATCTTTCCTCTTCCCAAAATATGCATACCCTAGCATGAATGTGACAAAGTGAAATTATCAATCAGTCTATGCCACAATTCATTTATACCTACAAGAGTTATAAACCTGCTAGGTCTTAACTTCCAGCCAGCCCTTCATCAAGTGTCCATATTTATATCTTTCTGAGATTACCTAATTTCCTGTGTGTTACTCCATCAGTCATAATATACTTATAAATGGCTAGATGGGCAAATATTTCTACCTTGTGGCTTATACCAGTAGTATATAGAGTCCTGCTAATATACCAAATGATATATTATTTATATGTCTACTAGCTATTTAAAAAATGAAAACACATTTACATTTATTGATTCCTGTTAAAGCGAGCAAATGTCTATCTAAATTAGTGGAAAAATTACTAGGCCCTAGGCAGAAAGAAAGGATGTGGCCTATGAGGAAAGCACAGTCACTTACTGTATTTTACAGGCAGTTCCTGCTGTAGCTAAAAGTTCTTTGCTCACCGAGACTGCTGGAGATATAAGACAAAGAAAAACACAACACAAATACTTGTAGCTTTAAAACACTGAATTTAAAGTCTTCCTGCAGATGAGAACCAGACCCTGGATTTAAAGGAAACTAAAGCTATTGTTCAACAATCCTACCAAAAAGAACTGGCAACAATGAGTTAACTGGAGCAAGCCTTTCGACCCACTCATAGCTATGGCCTGTTTTACATGATTCCCAAACCTCCAGATGAAAATGCAACACCTCTGTTAAATTTTTTGTCTACATGACACCAAAGATCACCTTCAATAAGAGAAATTTGAGTAACTGATAAATATCAATTGTCATTGTAAAGAATTATCTCATTGGGCATATTCACATTTTTTAAACAAATTTGGCTATTGTTAATTAGCCTTTAAGCAGGAAAGTACCTAACTCTGAAGAAAAAATTATGAACATAGTGAATTTGTTATTTTTTATCTCACATATAAACATGTTTTTCACATTTACTATATAATTAGTAACTCTTATCTTTAAATCATTTGGTATTCCATTTTATAGAGCATGCTAATCTTAGTTGCTTATTTCCTGAAAAAGTTTATTATTCCCTCTTTACTTTCAATTTTCCTAAAGCCTTTGGACATTCATTAAAGCATCCAAAAAACGGTGACCTGACACATAATCTGCCATATCAGGGAAACTATGACAATACACATAAACAACAAAATCACAAAATACTTTAGAATAAATTTTCCCATCATATGAGTAAGTTTTCTGAATCATAGCAGACCTTAGAATTTGTCCTTACAGTAAATCATAAAAATAGCCCTTGACAATATCATATTAAGATAGGTTTTTTGTTTTCTTTACAGGGGAGAACATTCTTGAGTGCTTTTATAATATCTGAGATTCTACATGACCTTTGGTGGAAAAGTATATGTGAATCAACACAAACATAGATGCAGGGTGGGGCAACAGTAGGTTTACAGTTGTGAGCATGCGAAGCACAGAGTTTATTCTTGTATTATTACATATTAATTATTGTATTATTGTCCATACAAACAACTGTAAACCTACTTTTGCCCCACCCTTTGCATACATACATAAATACACGTACTTTGAAGCACACGTGCTCAACTTAAAATGCATTCTGAGAAAAAAATCTCTGCAATAAAAATGAAGAGAAAGAAGTATGTTTGTTCACAAAGATGTATTAAATTAAAAAGAATAAGACTATACTTTTTTGGTTCTCACTTTGTAGTGGCTGGTTTTGAAAATGACTGTATCTTTGTAGCCAGAACAATTTTTCTGTTACATTCTGTTATTATTGTCTTTAATTGTTTTGAGGGTCAAATATGTCTTTGAAATATTTTAGTAGTGAACAGGGAAGAGCCATTTTTTTCTCTTATAAGTCCTTTGTAAATATTGTAAAGTTAATTCTAATTTCAATTCTATCAGGACTCTATAACTTGGAACACTTTGGTGCCATTTCTGGGCACAAAGCTTTAAAAAGCCCTATATTTGACCTTCTAATATATTAGGTTAATAAATTTGTAGGACTAGAATGATCCCTACAGTTTTTTTATATGGACCCTACATTGTTGAAATGAAAACTGGAGAAGCAGGCAAATTAAAAGACTGGTTAAAAGAAACAAAATAGTAACCTGGTATAACAACCAAAATTAGTATCTCTTTCTGTTCAATACACTTGTATTGATTATTGTATAAAATAGCCACAAACCACCTAATCTTGCTTCTTAGAAGTTATTGTTAATATTTTTAATGAGTAGTTATTAGGTTCTTCTAAATTTAATGCTACAAATGGCGTGAGTTAAGCCTCGGGTCCTGATGTTCTGTTTTGAACCATTTCAAATGGTATGCGTTTCTACCAGAATTAAATGCAAAAAATATCGGTACTTAACTGTGTGTATAATTAATTTTAACAGAAAATACTGAGTTAAAAGTGTTTTCAATGATCCATTCTCCTAAGCTGTTAACTGGTTACACATGTGTGACTTATCCAAGGGGTACCTCATTGTACAATCTTCCAAAAATCATGTTGCAAATGAGATACTTTTGGAGTCAGAAAGATCTCAAGTCTTATGATTACTCATAAAATGAGCAATTTCAAGGCAGAAGTTGTGTAGTATTATTTAATACAGTCCACTTTTTTTCTGAAGTATACTTTAAATGCTCAATATAAACAAAGAAACCAAACTGAATGTGAAAGAACAGTGAGGATTATTTGTTTTAATATCTTCCCTCTAGGATCTACCATGGTGATGGGCTCATAGTAAGCAAATTCTCCACAAATGCTGGCCTTTCCGTGATGGTCTCACTCTACAGGGGCCTGTGCTTCATCTAAACTTCAAAATACTACTGATAAATATCTACAGCCAGCGACTATCTGGGGGAGTGAAATACATCTGGGCGCAGAGGTAGTTCTGGTTAAAAGTATGTATGTTTTAGAAGTCAGAGAGTCACAGCTGCAATCCTAGCTTGCTCACTTCACTTGTGAGATGACTTTGAGCTTTAGTTTCCTAATCTGGAAAAATAGAAGGGAGAGTGTAATAATTCATTACTCTTATAACTGAATGTGATTTCATGCTTATACTGCCTAGGACAGTGCTTCAAACACCGTAAATAGCTGTTCCTAGTTAAATTATTTTGTAATTCATATGTCAATTGTTATTAAAAACACCAAATTTAACCTTGGCTCATACTATTTTTGATATTTTGGCAATAGATTTCTGAATGCTACCTCAATGGCTTCCTGGCAGTTTCTGCTCACCTTTTATTAGTTATTGGAAACAAATGGGATGCTTGGTCCAAAGAGCCCTCCTCTTCCCCATTTCCCACTAGCCTCCCGCCAGCATCTATATACTTGAGATAATATGTGAAGGAGCTTTGAAAGAAAATAGGAGGTTGTTCTGTGCTTTGTCCTGTGGGACGTAAGCTGTGGTGATGAGTACATAAAGATTCAGAGGGTGACACGGTGCTATGCTTTACTGGTCCTCTGGGCTGCTCTGAAGAATCTAGGGAGCTGAAGTTGGAGGAGAGATTTCATGAGAGAATTAGTCAGCTCTGGACAGGAACTGTGCTGTCTTAGGGCTCAGGAGGCAGCACAGCAGAGGGAAAGTTAAAGGCCAGTTTCTATCAGTTCTGTACACACAACAGGACTCTGGCACCCCAGGGGTTTAAGACTTTGAGAGCACCAGGAGATACTGTCTTTGTGATATAATTTTTAGGATGAAGTAGTAAGAAATGGCTACAGTGAGATCACTTCCAGTGACTCTGAGGGTAGAGGGTATAGACAAAGGAGGTCAGGGAGCTAGAGAAAGAGTGCTGTGTATTGGTCCTACCAAAAAGACCGGCTTGTGAAGCGTCCCTTTACGGATTTCAAGAGAAAATTGGGACTTTACAGGATGGGAGGTCCCATGTGCTAAGATGAAATTTGTGGATTATTGACAATATGACTTGATATCAGGGGCTTCTGGAGGCTAACAAGAGATTATTTAGATACGATTCAGATAAATATGTAAATAGCATTGTAGGTTTCAAAGTGTTTGAATTTATGAAAATAGTAAGTGAGCTGTGTGATTACCTAGCTTAAAGCAGCTTGTGCTTTCCCATGAGTCACCTGGCAATAAGAAAGTATGTGATGTTTTGTAATAAAGTTATTTTCCAATGGGAAAAAATGAATATAGCTAATTTCACATGGGAGGTCTTGCTGCTGATTTATGTAATCCTAAGGATTAATCTATTCCTGGTTCAGATAGTTCTATCTAAGAAAGGCAACATGTATATTCTTGTAAATAAGCATTCACAGATAATCTTTAGTGTGCTCAGAGAAAATTCTCAAATAGCTTTGAAACCCTTACCTCAAACCTTTCTTGGGGAGGAGTGAGAGAAGGGATTAACCAAAGAATTTATGAGAATATAGGCAAATCCCATGAACAAAGACAATAGAGCAGGGAAGGCCTGGGGAGGTGGAGGGAGTGAGGAAGAGGGGGTCAATGGGAGGAAAAAGGGGGACATCTGTAGCACTTTCAATATTATCTCCAATTAAATTTAGATTCCCAATTAAGTTGTATGAGGTCCTTAATGACTTATTTTCCTCCTGGCAGTAGTTGACAAGAATTCATAATAAGTTCTAATGTATTCTTTTAATAATTTTTTTGTCCTACCCTGAGCTTTACTTTAGCTATAGGCAAATAGGTGAAACATGACAAAGGCATGGTGCTGTATAATGATCTTCACCACAGGGACAGCTGCCTCTCCCTATTGGTTAATTTATTTCCTTTTTCAAAAGAAAAAGAGATGTGATTATGACTATGAGTCTATTGGAGCTATACTTTCAACCAGTTTCATCCTAACGGTATTTTTACACTTTGAAAAAAAAAGCAGTTCAATAAATAAGAGATTTTTCCAAGACATACATTATGAATATTATATCATAATCTCATGAAAGGACTTTGATCTCTTCCAGAACTAGTTCATTAAATGATTCTTTTAGCCCTGGTTGTGTGGCCCAGTTGGCTGGAGCATCATCCTGGGCACCAAAAGATTGCAGGTTCAGTTCCCAGTCAGGGCACATGCCTCGGTTGCAGGTCAATCCCCAGATGGGGCGCACATGGGAAGCAACTGATGGATGTTTCTCACATCAATGTTTCTCTCTCTCTCTCTCCCTTCCTCTCTCTTTCTAAAACCAATAAAAATACATCTTGGGGTGAAGATTAAAAAATGAACCTTTTCATCAAAATGACTCAATACAAAAAACAGATGCTTCTCTTATGTTCACTATCTGGGAAAGATATGATCTTTCAAAAACAAGAAATATTAAAGACTTGATTTTAACTTCAACCATTACATGAAAATTATTTTTAATATTCTTATTATGAGAGCTGTCTTAGAAATGTTAGCATGTATTTCATTTAATAGATTTTGGAGTAATTTCTAATAGAAATGTACCATTCAATGTGATAGTAGCAACAGTTCAATGATTAGTTGAGCAAACAGAGGTTGTTGGCATATGAGCCAGTTTCTGCTTCCAAAAAGGTTAGCATATGTTTCCAGAACTAATAGTTAATCATGGCATTATTTAAACTGCTATATTTAATGGCTTAATATTATACTATTCATCTTTATAATGCCTTAGGCAGATATCATAGATCCTTAGGGGTAGATTTATATCTCTAGTTTAATCTTAGGAAGACCTTCTTAACCTCACACACAGTAAATATTTTCTTCAGTTAATATAAATTGCTCTTTTGCAAATTAAGATATATTTCTTTGTTATAATTTTAATAAGTGAAATGGCCTATTTATTAATTAGGAAGTTTTTAAAATGAAATCACTTTTATGATACCATTTATAAAATTTTTGGAACTTTTTCTCCAGGTTTTACTTTAGAGATAAGCTCTAAGGACTGACTCTACCCAACTGGATTAGTTCACTAGGGTTCACGTAAAGAACTGCCAGACTGGGTGGTTTAAACAACATCACTAAAATTCCTCCCAGTTCTGAAGGCTGAAGGTCCATGATCAAGGTTGTGGCAACCTTGGTTTCTCTTGAGGCTTCCCTTTTTTGCTTGCAGATTTGTCACTGCATCTTCACCTGGCCTTTTCTCTGTGTGAGTATCCCTGGAGTCTCTTGTCTTCTCATGAGGACATCAATCATGTTGGATTAGGGCCCCACACATAACCTCATTTTACCTTAATTACCTCCTTAAAGGCCCTATGTCCAAATACAGTCACATTGTGAGTTAGGGCTTTAACATATGAATTTGGCGGGAAAACAGCTTAATCCATAATGCCAATAGTTTCTAAGAAATTATTTCAAAGAAGATGGAGTTGAAATAGGTAAGAGTCATTTGAAAAATTTAAAGTTATCACAGTAATAACTGAGTCAATTCCCTTAAGTAAAACATAATTATATCTTCTATAAGCCAATAACCCAAGAATTTAAATTATGTAAGAGCTTCTTACATATCAGCCCTTCAGTAAGAAGTTTTCAGTAAGAATGGTTCATACATTATTTATACTTAAAAACTCTGTTATGGCTGAGTGTGAAATTGATGTCAGAAACACTACTAGTTTCTTGTCACAGACACTATTAGATAAAGGAGTTCATAAATTTTTTCCGTATTAGTTAGTATATTTGCAGATCTCTAGTTTCCCTCAGATTCTCCAAAAGGATCTGTTTCTCTTTTCTTTTGCTTCACTATTTTTCAAGGATGCCCTTAAAAAAAAAAAAAAAAAAGTGTTTATTTTGTGTGCTGATCATGGCCTGAAGATAGATTTACTTGCTGATAGACACAGTTTGAGAATTGGCCTTGGCTGTGCTCCATATTCTCTAGGATTTCATCAAAACCCCTTTTCATGTCAACAGTTCAAAGGCAAATATATAAGCATAGCCTTTAGCCAAAGTCTCAACATTTAGGAACTATTTATCTAAGCATTTATCTAGATTTTCCTGTGTGTGGAATCGTCTCATATCCTATATCCCATATCCTAACATCTGGAGCTTTCACACTTTGACCAATAGAATGCACAACAACCTCTTCTCCAGGAACTTCAGTATATTGCTATTACTGTCATTGCTACTTGATTCGCTCCCCAGTGTCTACCCCTAACCAAGTCAATCAATCAATCAAACAATCAAGAAATAAAATTATTTTCTTGTTTTATGGGAAATGAAATTCCTGGATGAATGGGGGATAAAGTACAAAAAGAATAAACACATTTCTCTAGCTGCCTTAAAATAAAAACAAAAACACGTACATTTACAAATTTCAGAGATGTTAATGAATTTGGGAAGATGTGTGCGTCAATTTTCTGTCTGTTGGGTAGGCACTGGCTGTTTCTCAGACCAGCTCTGCATGAATTATGTGTCTCCACAGTCCTGAGAAAATCTCTCTTAAATGTCATTGTTTCCATGGGTTTTTCTTCATCTGTGCATTCAATGCATGGGTGGCCTAAAGACAGCAGATAGCATGAAGTGCATAGGTTGCCAGTCAGATGCCATTTTGGCCGAGATTCACATATACACTTTGAGTTTAGGCATTATTTATTCTATTATGAGTTTGTGTTTTCAGTCTCTTACAGGTTTAGCCGCTAATAATTATGACCTCTCTTCATGCAAAGTGGATTTTAAATGAGTTCATTATGACAAGCTGCTACCTACGTTAATGTGTGAGCAGTGGGTTTAAAATGTGGTTATCTATTTAGAACTTTATTATTTAAAGTTACTTTTATATTTAAGAATGAATTACTGTTGATTAACATTGAAGAACTGAAAAACCTCCTTGCACAAAAATGCTAATTGACTTTCTTGGGCAACTACAGTTCTATGACTTTCCCATACTGACACCCTAATAAAACATGGTAAAAAAGAGAACTCTCCTTCCACACGTGAAATTTTCACATAAATGGAAATATTTGCTGTGCTGATGT